CGAAAAGCCATGTGTTTCTGTGTTCGCGAGTGAAAGAAAAAGGAATACTTCATGAACACAATGTGTAATAATTAAGATTATTTCCGAAGAGAGAACGAGTTCTGCCTGTTGAGAAACTGGATTCCTGAACAGCTTCTGAGACAATTTAATATCTTGGACAATATATCAATAATCATCATTTCAATAATATGCAGCGTGCAATCTTCTGTGACTGATGCTGATGGTGTTTCTTGCTTATCAGCAGTAATAAAATTCGTGCTTTTATGACTGAACTGCTGGCACCACATGCCTATACCTGGATGCAATATCACAATTTCATGATGAATCTCAGTATCACGTGATTTACTCGAAAAAAATGCTACTGTTCTTCGTACTTCAGATTTGGTTAAGTATCCAGTTCCCGCGTCATTTTACACTTCTACATCATCGCACTTCTTTCCGATACTATATACAATGATATTGTTAGTGTTGAAAGGCACGAATATGAAAGTTTTTCTACGCATGTGTCTTTTAAGGTTAGCATTTCTGCGAGCTGTTGACGATAATTGTAACTTGCATTTAGAACAGCTGTTGTCAACGTTTGTAAATTACCTCTAATTTATTTTTAATAGAGAAGAAGACATTTCCAACCGATATTTGATCAAAGTTCAGCGTATGTTTACGATTCACAATATTCGATTTTCGGTAATTCTTAAATTAAAACTTTCATGTAGTCCGTAGAATTCAAATTTTAGTCGCGTTTTTAAGAACACATGCATAAAAGTATTCATGGCATTTTTCCAGTTGGATTGAAAGCAAAAGTATATACCTAAATATAAACATATCGATTTTGTTTTCAAATGCAGGATACTAGCAGTTTAAAGCTTTCGTCGTTAATGGCCGATATACGTTGATAATTTTTATATGCAACGATTTATTGTGCTGCGCATTAGTTTGAGCTCTCAAAGTGTATAACTTTCACTTCATAATAAGTAAAATCTCATGAATAAATTTTATATCATTAGAAAGCTTGAAGAGAGAAAAATTGATTGGTAGAAGTGCCGATACAATTGGATAAACCACCTATAAGTCATCAGCTTTTCAACTATACATCTTGAATGACTGAAATTTCAACAGTGTTCTGCAAATGAAAGTCTGACTAACGTTTAGGTATATGCTTCTAAACTGAAATTTAATATAATTTTCTATATATATAATTTTCTAAATTGAATTGATTGATGATATTATAGCTAATTTAAATAGATTTGTAGTGCAAAAAATAGCCTTTCATCTGATGTATGTTGTTTTACAAAGTATTTAAAAATATTGAAGTTATGGTCAAATAATTTTAGAAAAATATTTTAAAAATAAGGTTTTAAAATATTTTTCTAAATGTTTTTTAATATTTGAATTTCTAGAAACCATTGTTTATAAATCTCATGCAAAATCTCAAAAAACAGCACAGGCAAAATATTTTACATGTAATCAAAAAATAAATACAGCTAAAATATTTAAAGTTACTTAAAAATAATACTTAATTAAAATATTAAATTCTACATAAGTAATCATAAACAACTAAATCTTCAAATTTATCAATATATTATATGCATACTAGCGGAAGTACCCGATGCCAGTTAAATTAGATTGTGAGTAATGCATCTAACAACAGAGAGAACGATATCGATGTAATTTTTCCCTAACAACGATGCAAAAAATACGATTCATGGTCATACATTTTTCAGTCTGATGAGATACGGTACCCACATAAAAAATTTCGATTAAAAAATAAACTAATTCTCTCTCACAATATCAGCAACATTGGCATGCAGTTTTTAACAATTTTCGTCTTTCTAATCAAATGGCCGCAAAGGCTCAAGTTCTGTTTCAAAAATTGTTTATTTTTTATTTGTTTAATTTCTTTTATATATTATTTATATTTTTATAGTACTTATTATAGTATTTGAATAGAATATGTGGTAACAATTAGATAATTCTTCAGTTGATATAATTTTTGTGGATTCTGAGTTTTAGAATGTAATGCTGTTGAGTTAACCTATCGCTAGAGTGTCTCTATGGTAAATAAGTACAGTAAATGTTAAAGAATGCATTTATTCTATTGGGGTTTATGCGCTATCGGCGAAGTAGATTTAATTCAATTCAATAAGTTTAAATGAATGGGAATATGTGTATAGTTTAATATTCCGTACAAGGAAGTCATGTGGTGTACACATCAGATTTTTTTTTAATGTGGGCATTTGATTTCCGTGTGATTATGCTTTTACGTAGTTAATGGTATAAAAACAGTTTTATTTTGATAAATTTAATCAGTTTCCATGAAATTAATTACTCTAAAGCATAATTTATGAAATACTATTCAAGAGTTTTAAGGGTTATTTGAAGTCCATCGTATGTTTATTTGAAAATTATCTGCCTTGTTTATAAATGTACAGTAAAATGCAGGTTATTTGTCAAGTAGTGTTTTCTTTCGGAACAGCGGACAACAGAATGAGCATATCTAAAATAAAACCTGAATTTAGAATTATATGCTTTTTCATATACTTATGAAATGCATTTAAGAATTTTTTATATATTTACATATTCATGAAACTTACAAAACCACAACAGTAAATGTTTCAATTCATGCAACGACATTGAAATTCATCAACTGCTCGTTTATAGCAAGTTTTACGATAAAAAAATCTGTTTTGAAATTGGAAATCATTAAATCAGGGTACTTTTACGTAAATTAATGCTTTAATTGTAATATATCAAATTAACTTTTCAATTTAAGTTCCTCAATTTGCGAGCATTGTACAGAAATGTCACCTAACATTTTAAATATATGCTTCATAAAATTATAAAATGTTTTCAATTCAACAATAGAAACCTAAAATGTTATTTTTACAAAAATTATATACGACGAATAACAACTCCTATATGCAAGTACTTATTACTAACAGAGATCAAATTTTGGAATCTGTACAAGTAATTTTACATTACAATCAATACACAAAGGTATTGTGAAATTATGAATTCTTGATGTTGCAGTTTTCAACCATTACTTTTATCAAAGATATGTGCCAGAGTTATTTACACAGTGTGTCATGACGTGATGACCACGCATGCGCAGTTTAGCCGAACGGCCTGCAACGCCTCTCTCTCATGAGACTTACTAGAGAAGAGTAGTTAGTAGGTAGTAGCGAAGTAACGAAGGAAACGTGTTGTATGTCAGTACGAAGTTATACTTGTGGTTACTCGTTTGTACTTATTATTTTATTTTGTGTTAAAAAGTGTTGTGCCGTTAAAATGGCTGTTTTATGCAACGCACACAATACGCTAAGTCTACGGTAGGAAGTATACATATCCAGAAACTACACGCCCAAGAAAAAGAAGAATATGACACAGTGGTTTCACAAATTGCAAAGATATGAAAAGAATATTCAGAAATATAAAATTTAATATATTTTATTAGCAATCTTCAGCCAGTTTAAATTAACATTTATTAAATTTCTTGAACCAGATTATTTTGAATTCATGAAGAAAACAAATTGGTACCGTATGCCGTTTAAGCATATTTTGCCGAATAATGTGTGTTGACTATCTAGCATCTAAAGGTATTTCGGGGTTGATAATATGGTTATATCGAAGTCCCGATTAAAACAGTTTGGGCTCCAAAGCATAGCATGTTCTAAAAGACCCTAAAATTCTGAGACTTTTAAGTAGAGATTAGGGTTTAGTTAAAATATTTTATTTATTTATTTCATGTATAGAATAACTGCATGTCAGTTGTGAAAAGGAATAGAGATAAGTGAATAAGGAAAGGAATAAGTGATAATAAAGCGGTTATTTGGAGACCAAAAATTGGTAAGCTGAGTAGTTTTGTTGAACGTTTAAAAGAACAATTTTTAAGTTTTTTCATATTATACTCTTTTTCTGGTTCAAAAGCTGTTTTTATATCAGTATTTCGTTTTCAGAAATGTAAGTGATGCATATACGATTTGGATTCTAAGACGGTACCTATATGATCTGCTAGGATGGCTACGGCAAAAAGTGCAATTTATACGTGTTGGATTGGGTAATTTGGCTATGAATATTGAAACTATATTTTGACAGAATTGGATATTTTGCCTATGACCAGTTATGCCTAAGTATACGCTCACATTAAGGACAATGTATGCAGACTTTTTCATAAAACATAAATGGTACTCGAATTATAATATAGTATTTTATTTTGCTTACTTTTTCAATACTCATTTGTACACGATAAAATTATGTTATAAAAAAAATCTTTAAAATCTTGACATAATTTGCATATTAATGTGAACATTCATACATTTGTCCAATTTAACTTCCAGTTTGCCCTATACACACTTTTCTTAGAATTCACTAAGCCTACTATTTATGCTGTATTAAATATGTAACTGAGGTATATTATTAAAGTATTACACTATAATTTGAAATTTTTCCGTTTAGATGGTCATTCTATAAGCTTAAGAAACAACTAAACAGAAAGAAATGTTGCAATGGTATGTAATTCAAAATAATATAAATTCGTTACGTTTTTGGTTAATTTATAACAGCCGCTAAATGAAAAAAATATATCTAATAATATATGTTATTCCACTTATTAGTATTTAAATCTATTATTCAATAAATTACGAATAAACAGAGCAACGGACTGTTGGAATAAATACACGCAATATGAATAGTATGCATTGATTAAATAAAGGACACTGAAATGTTATGCTAACAATGAGAATCAAATTACTAATAACTAATTTAATTATCAATATCTATGTATGTTATTATAATTATATGTACGTTTTTAAATAACTGTATTGACATTCAAGTAAGGGATTATTTTTGATTTTGTAACATACAGCGGTTACGGTTATCAAAAATGAGTTTCTAAATTTAAGAAAATCTTTAATTAAATATTAGGATGTACCTGGGGTCCTTAAAGTAGATTGAATTTTTGCAACATATTGGCCCCATTCAAAATCAAAGCATGTATAGCTCACCTGTGCAGCACGAGCGCCGCAACCGGGAGGATGATCGTCACTATGACAACCGATGGACGCCCTAAGTTGCGTTGAGAGAACGAGAGCAACAGGACCGCAGTCTCCATCTCCGTTTTCAGATATCCCAGGATGAGAAGCGTGGGAGGAAACCTTGGACTTGGAAAGCCGCTCAATTCTTACCCAGCGCAAACAGGAGTGGACCAGGTAGGTCGTACCTGACCCCCATGAATTCCCTTTACGTATTAATGACTGTAAAAACAAACAACAAACTTTTTCCCTCATGACTCTGGAATTTTAAAAGCCTAATCGTCAAGGAAGCTTTCTCTAAAGCAAGTAGTTAGTTTACCGAAAACTTACAGTTCCCTTCCGTAATTTTTTGGTACGGTTGACAGTTAAGAATGGTTTTGTTTCCACTGTGGAATATTATCATGAAACTTCGCGATCATGGTATGCGCCTTTTAAAATTAAATTTTTGTATCCAGTATTGATTTTGTGTGACTTGTGGAAGTTTCAGACTTCTTTATATGGAAGTGGTATTTTATGTATAATAATATGTAATAAATATAACAGAAAAACAAACTCGTCAAAATCATAATTTTTATATGCGCATGTATGAATGATTCCTACATATGGAAAAGAATTGTAATATTATGTCCTAGTGCGCCAAACAACCTTTTTTACATAATGCTAATATAAGTTGGAAACTCTAAATATATAAAAATATAATTTAAGGATATCAGTAAAAGTGAAAAAAATATTGTTTGAACATGTATTTGGAACCTACATATTAGTTTTATATATATTATCTATGATATTATTAATAAATATTTTCTCATTAAACTTTTCCATCTGCCCATTATTGTAAGATACTGGAAGTGTGGTTTATATAAGCAGTTTTAAATAATAAAGTGTGAATAGAACAGCTTTTTTCAGAAATAAAATAAACTTCACGTACATCATTGAATTAAGAAAACAAAACAAATTACATTACAAGTGTCTTCGTTTCTATAATTTGGAACAATAAGCTTTCTGTGAAGATATTATTAAGAAGGTTTAAAAGATATTATGTTATAAATCCTACTGAAAATACTATAAAATACGATTCTGTAAATTACTTGAATGAAATCAGGAGCTTTTCGTAAAGGATATTTTGAATATCTGAATGTGTGTTTATAATTAATAGAGCTTAGGTAAAGTATAAAACAGCATACACGGAAATATTTCAGAGTTATTCTGCTTCATTTTTAGAAATGAATGTATTTTAAATAATTCTAACTCCATCGGAATTCTTAAATTTCAATATTCAAGCTTTCATTATGTTGTACTGTAACATTATTTAATTATTGTTGTTTAAAATATATTACATCGCGCTAGAAAGTGTTATGTATAACTTCATTACCAAAAAGAAAACTTTTGAAGAGTGTAGCATAATCAGTTAAGTAAAACTTATGCTATCGAGAAATGAGTGAAGAAGAAGTATTAGTGTCAATGAATTTTATATAATTAGAGAAGATTTCTGGAGATTGTAGGTTTCAGTGTTTTACTAATATTCGTATATTTCCAGCCAAGATATGTCTAAATATCTAGTTTTTAAGTGGATCAGTGAAGCATTGAACACAGTGGATACTTTAGTGCGATAGTGCTTTTTACAAACCAAATGGGAATAATGACAACTGTCAACAGCGATCTTCGACACGAAAATTCTAATATTACAACAACTAGCAATTTAGTTTCAGTCACAGTTCACGAGGACCCAAGCAAACGCCCCTTATGACCTTTGGGGCACGGGCGCCGGGCCACGATGAAGCTTAGTGTTGCCACATTCAGGGCTGGTACTGAGCGCCTGAATGCCCTGTTACAGGCCAATCAGGCTTCAAGGCCTACAGTTGGGCCTTGTAAATCTGGAATTGTTACTCCGACGGAAGAGGATACAGAATCTTTGCTGCCAAGACGCGGTAATAGCTTAGACTCTTCCGATGTTGGAAAGAAAAAAGACGAAGAACCTAAGACTCCAAGAAGTATAACAACACTTGGACTTTCACAGGTAAGACAGCATTTTTTATCATTTCTCTGACAATTTTATATTTTAAACTAGTACAGATGAGCTAAATTTCTAAAAACTGAACTAAAGAATGCATTTTTTTATTTAAAAAATGTATTTGTTTAAACTGTTCTAAGTCGCATTACCTTAAACTGTAAAGAAAAGTCTTGAAAATTTAAGCAAATTTTTAATCAATATCGTTTAATTATGTGCCAATGGTTTATCATAGATGTGTAAAATATAGTGCTCTTTTTATGAATGTAATGTTTATTTTTTATGATTATAATATCGAATTCTTATTAGTACTATTAACCGAATCTTTAACCGAATCTTGTAAGGAAAAAGCATGCCCTTTATTTAAATCACAATTAATATATATATATATATATAAGATATTGTACACGATTCCGTAAGGTTTTATTGTGTCAATGCTTCATTTTTTACGTGTGCTTCTTGTGATGCAATTGATACCGTTGTTATTGATAATTATGTTTAAAATTGTTTTAATATAATTATAAATATTAAGAAATACATTAAGGATTGAAATTTATGAATGTTTTGCGGCAATAAAACATCAGAAGAGTTGTCGTAAAGTATATTTATTATTAACAAAATGTATTATTATTGACAGTAGATTTCCGAATTGGTGTATATTTCTACACTTTTAATGATCCTAGTGTTGCTTTCGATCTGAATTGAAAGTACCAATAATGTCGCTGATTGGTCGGATGAACATGTTATTTGCATGAGCGACCCATAGTGTCCTTATGTCTTACATTACATTTTAAGCCTTAAAATTTAAGAACGTAAGTGCTTTTCAGTAAAGTATGTTCTAAACAGAATTTGTTTTCCTCTAGCTTAGTTTGGCTTCGATGTTATAAATAAGTTGGTCTACATTGATGTAACTGAAATAAAAAAAAATATCAGTATTTCACTCATCCGTATTTAATATTTGGCACTGAATTAGTGTGAAGGTAGAGAATTTTTAAAATTTATTAAGGAAATAATTTTTAAGAATTATTTAATAATTAATTGCAAGAAATACTCTACTACTATAAATAAAGTAATGTATAGTTATTTCTTTATAAACATGAAACAATAATATTAAGATTTAAGTTATGGATTTATCTTTCAAGTACTGCACGGAATCCATGACTTATTGATAATAAATTCACTAGTAAATACTCTTCAATTTTGTCTGCTGAAAGTCATATACTTGAACGGTAAGAAAATTTAAAATAGAGTAAGCTAGAACTCAACAGATATACCAATAAAGGCATAGAACCTTCTAATTCTTTAATATAATATTTTATAAAAGACTGCAAACATGGCCATACTGAAAAAGAGAGGAAAGGGAAATACTAATTAAATAAAAATCTTACATCTTAATTAGTTAAATAAACAATCTTAATTAAATACAAAATCTTACAGTTTTTAAATCAAGTTTCTAAAGAACCTTTAAACTACTTTTGCTGTATATCTAACAAATACTAATTTTGAATGCTTCAGAATAATGATTTAAATTAAAAGTCACAAGATCAAAGAAACATGTGATAGATTATTCTAATGTATTAAATAGCGCATGCATAGTTATGGTTACTAGTTGTAAATGCTAACATCAGTATCTGTTTGATATATGATCAACTTTAAGGAGATCCATAAATATAAATGTATATGGTTATTAAGTATTAACTTTTTGTATACGCATTTATGAGTCAGCTTTATAGTAATTAACTCAAAATCACAACACTGTCATTTTTCGGTTAGCCATATTAAGTATTTTGATAAAATATTCATGAATAACTGCGATATTAACATACTTATGCGTTCGAATTAACTACTTAACATTATATTACGTTGACATAATTTGTAAAACTCTAATGAGGGATCCGGTAAGTAGTTCAGAGTCCTAAAATTGCTATGATAACGCAAAATAAGGTTACGTTATAACCTAGTTTCGTTATTTTTATTTCTATATCAAAAAGCAACAATTTGGGATAAAATGTCTGGGTTTACAGTATGAGAAAGAAGAAAACAAATAAGATTTTATTCTGAGCAGAGAGCTAATTAACTGCTGTGGTTGCCTCTTATTCTGTCAACGGAGTAGAAAAGTTTCAGTCAGCTAAATTACCTATTGACTGGAAAGCTCTAATTCCATAACTTGCTTAAAATACTACTTACTGCCTTTCCTTCCGCCAGGAGCACCTCTTTAAAAAGATATTTTTCGCAAGTTATTTAATTTTTCATTGCCGACTATGAACATGCTTGTCAAAGTGAAAGGCATTCTCTAAAAGGATATTTTTGGTAAGCTATTGAAATGCTTTCAGTTGGGAATAATTAGAATAAACTTGAAGAATGTGACATTCAGATATTCTTTCTCGAAATTATACAGTAGCTATTAAAAGTTTACCATTTAAAAGAAATCAGAGATATCAATTTTTCGTTAATAAAAGCTATGCTATCCAGTTCACAAGAAGATAAACAATACCATTATACGTACATGCTAAGTTTACAGGTTGTGTAAATTTTTCGGAAGTATTATTTAGCAATTGAAATAAAGGCTTGCAATAACCGACATTTGTAATTCTTTCTTTGATGCCCAGTTTTATTTCAAGAAACCGTAGTTCTAATTTAAACACAATTCTTATTTATACACATTTCTGATTTATACACATTTCTAGTTCTATGAGTCATTTGGAGACATTTTCTGCTTAACCATTAAAAATCTGCGTTCAGTTTCTTTTTGCATTAACGAAAGATATCTGTCTCTGATTATAGATTTTCTTAACATATTCATATATGCGAATAGCCTTTACCGAGTTGTTCCATGCTGGCATGCTTTCTCTGCTAAAATTCATCCCAAAAGTTGTACTGTCTGCACTCCATTTAATACCACGTTTATCATTTGGTTTATACAAAACATTTTAGATATCATGCGTAATTGATTTGTAAACAATGAGAGATATTTCAGTTTTAGTAAATAGTTTTAGTAGCTTTCAGTCAACCGCAAGGTTTCGCACTAAATATATTTATACACTTAATTCATATTGAATGTTGTTCAGTTTTATGAAAATTACAAAATCAGATTTAAAAAAAATGAAAAAGGTATTAATTCAGCTATGGGGGTGGGAATCGTGAATGTAATTTTGCAAGAAACTATTAAGACATTACTCAGCTTCTATTTAGTTTTTGTAACACAAATATGCAATTTTTATGAATGTATTGACCTTTTGATCTCTCT